GGATATTATTTATAGGGATTTAAAAAAAACTACTGGGTGGATTTTTATCATTTTAGGGTGGATGTGTACAAACACTGCCAACAGACATTTATGTTCAAACAACATGTAAAAGTGAATTTTGCATCCGATGACCCCTTTAAAGCCAGTATTTTTTAATAGTTTTTGTTTTAACCGTGTTAATGCTACAAAATCAATCCATTTCTTCTTATGTTCACTGTTTTTGCTTGTATGTTAATGTACAAAATATTTAGAGCAGCAGGACTGATTCTCAGAATCAGAAATATTTAATTTGTTACTGCAGTGTATCCACAGTAACATTTTAAAATCTGCTACCAAGTATTTCAGTGTACTCTACAAACTGGGTCACAGACAGGAACATCCAGTGTAGACAGCTTCATTGATTATAATGGTAACTATTTAGATTTGTCATAATGCATTTCTGTTTTGAGTCTGTTGTTTTGAACTCATTTTACATAATTTGAAGCCATATTTGCACTGGTGCTAGATGTATCTTTTTTTTCTCCCCAAATGATTAATTCAAATGAACAAAAAATTCTAGTATCTCTCATGTGGTAGTAGTATTTAGTTCATGGGATTATAAAAAAATGCCATTATTCAATGGTACACTACCATTCAAAAGTTTGGGGTGAGTAAGTTTTTTTTTTTATTATTATTTAAGAAATGTATACTCCGCAAATATACATTATACAATTATATTGTGTATATATAATATATTTCACGAAATTCTGTTATTTCAAACTTTGTTCATGAAATAATTCAGAAAATTGTTTTTATTTCCACAAAATACTAAGCAGCACAACTGTTTTCAACGTTGATAATAATAAGAAATGTTTCTTGAGCAGCAAATCAGCATATTAGAATGATTTCTGAAAGATCATGTGACACTGAAGACTGGAGTAATGATACTGAAAATTCAACTTTACCGTAACAGGAATTAGGGCTGTGCGATATGGACAAAAAAAACCTATCGCAATTTCTTTGATCAATTTTGCGATTTCGATTTTAATCACGATTTTGACACACACAGACATGCTTTACAGTCATAAATGCATTCAGTGTGAATTTGAAACATATTTCCAAAAGAAAACCAATTAGAGCTTTATCAAGAAGCTGTAACAGGGGCATAGAGGACCTACAATAATGTACAGTATTTGAAAAATAATGTGTTTTTTGAACATTAAAGCATGTCAACATATTCTGTTACACCAAATACACAAAATAATGATCTTTAAAAAAGCATCATATGACCCCTTTAATTTTTACCACGAATAATGCGCTGTCACTTTAATTCAGCGCATGCAGCACAGCAGAAATAGACTCTGTGCTGAAACGGTCGCAGCATGACTGCTGCAGAAGCACCGCTCCTGGAGCGCACTGCCGGACCGCAATCGCATGCAGTGTGAACGCTCTGATCCGTTAACATGGGCGCGGAAAAAATACGCACCACAGACGAAGTGTGTCAACCTGGCGTTACGTTTGTATGCCCGGCCGCCCGGTCTGTTCTGTTCTCGCGCTGCGTTCTGATTGGTTCGGATAGCATACTGCGGGAGGTCGGGGCGCGGAAAATCGTGCTGTAAAGCGATTTAGAAATCGCGCATGCTCAAATCGCGATTTTATGACGATTTCGATTAATCGCACAGCCCTAACAGGAATGCATTACCTTTTAAAATGTATCATAATACAAAAGTTATTTTAAATTGTAATAATATTTCACAGTATTTATATTTTTAGCTAGGCTATTTTTTTTTCCAATATATTAGTATTTTTGATCAAATAAATGCATTGATGAAAATAAGAGCTTTCCAAAAAAATCTACATTATAAAAATATTACCGACCCCAGATGTTTAAATGGTAATGTATGTAATATATTTCCAGCAAAAAAATAAAATAAAATTGTTACTATATAATAAAATGGTGATATGATTCCCTTGGCTATGATATTAATTTCAGTTCCTCCTCATACAATTTCTCACAATTTATTTTTATTTTTTTTACAGTATTTATTTCTGTTTTCCTTTTTGTCTTAAAGATTCGTCTGCTTCTCCAGTACTTGAAGGAGGACCCCAGAAAAGCAGTGAAAAGACTCGCCATTCAGGATCTCAAGCTCTTAGCTATAAAAGCTCCTCACTTGTGGACCAGGAAGAACATACAGGTCAGAGAGTCATGAATAAATGTGGGACAACTGGTTCACTCACTACAATAAATGTAATTTCCAAGTTGTGTGTTTGTAGGTGTTATGCGAATGTGCTCTCAGCACCCCGTACAACAGTCTCAAGCTGGGAATGCTGTCTGTCCTCTCCACACTATCTGGTACCATCGCTATTAAACAGTACGTCAGCCCTAATACAGGTACAAAGTCATGAAGTCATGTTGACTTTGCTAAAAATGCATTTATGCAAGTGTATACAGATGATAACATGTGGTCTCGTTACATTTCGCATGTGAGTTTAACCACCCGATCTCTCTGGATGATGCAGGTGAGGCGTCTCCAGCGCCCCGTCACACTGACCTGGTGAAGCTGGCGCAGGAGTGCTGTTACCATAGTAACCTGGCAGTGGCAGCCCATGGAATCACAGTGTTGACCAGTATCACTGTTTCCTGTCCAGAGAAAGGTTGGTTTCTCCTCACCAAAAATTAGTAGGCTTATTTAGTTTAGGTTGTATAAACCCAAAGGAGGTCAAAAATAGAGAATATTTAAATGATAGATCACCTAATTGAAATATTTTGTCAGAGGTCATCCAGCTGGAACAAGAAGCAGTGATGGGGATGGAGTCTCTCATTCTGCTCTGCAGTCAAGATGACCGTAAGACTGCGCAGGCCACACTCAAAGTAAGTGTTATTCAAGGTTTACAGAGCTTCGAATATGTGACTTGACCCAGCTGTCTCCTTCTGAGTCCATGTTTCAATAGTCTCACAGAGCCAGGTTCATGTTGCAGCTTATTCTGGCCAAGAACTGGATACTTAAGGTTACTTTTGTGGAATTTTTGTGATCTTTCACTGACAAATAAGAGCATTACATTGTCTGTAGGGTAGTGATTAGGGATGTAACGATATCAAAATCTCACAATACGATAATATCATGATATGAAGTCCACGATACAATATTTATTGCGATAGAAGATAGAAGAATTGGAATTTTTTTTTACATTTTGTACATTTTAAAGTTATGTTATTCTATCTAATGCACTTTGAGAGTTCAGAATTAAGAGCTGCAACCCATGTCCTTAATTAAGAAAACTTAAGTGTCTTGTACCTGAACTTAAAAGGGGACTCAACCCTCTTTTTATTTGTGATATACTGTCTGTCTAAATTACATTCACACTGGTGTTTTAGGAAGCCAAAAAATTATAATATAATAATAATAACAATGACAGTAATAGCCATATATTGTAAAACAATTGCACTGAAAAATAAATAGAATATCTCATAGGTATATTATTTTTGCTTTACGCTACAGCAGGGAATTTACAATATTTCTTTCCTAATTTCTACACTTGAAAGAGATATTTTGAATTTGGACTGCATTTGAAACTGCTAGCTGTCAGCAATTCATACTGCACCTTTAAGCTTTCATTTTGACGGAAACGGCAGTTAGAGCTTTTATTTTGAAGGAACACTCCAGCTTCAGTGAAAACAGGCTTACAAAAACGCGTCTCACTACAAATCTAGTGAAATGCTGTAATCATCTGCCACGAAAAGAAAGCATAACTGGTAGCTGTTGCGTTTCCAAGCGTGTGCTAAACTCACAGCACGTGCAGTAATGGAGTTCACTGCATTCATTCACTGTGAACGGAGCCGCTCTGAGGCGCGGAAAACACCTGATCACGAGCTGATCGCCTCAACAATGTGTGCGCTTCGCTTTGAAACACGCAGCGAAAACACTCGATGAAGGGATTAAGCCATATTGTGCTTTTGGTTTTAGTTCATTTGACAGATACTGTGCCAAAACATAATGACCAAAAACTAGTGCTGTCAAACGATTAATCGCGATTAATCGCATCCAAAATAAAAGTTTTTGTTTGCATAATATATGTGTGTACTGTGTATATTTATTATGTCTATATAAAAGCACACACATACAAATCTTCACAAAAATATATAACTTTTATGAATTTTGAAGCCTAAATACAAGCGCCAGAACTTAAAAGCTAAACTTAGGCTATAAACGAACTACAGCACCACGGTCGCTCGCCTTCAACGTCACCATGCTCCCGACAACTTTTTCAAACTTATTTTTAACACGTTCAGTGAAAAAAGATTTACTCTGTGGATGAATTTTAATCCACTCTACATTAACCTTTTCAAATAAAAACTGGAATAAATACTAAACTAGAGCCAAACTATAATAATAAATAATATAGTGAATAAATGAAAAAATCATAACTATTTCTGTACAAATCGAAATAAGGTGCATTAAATGTCAATAAATCCTTGATTAATATAAATATTTGAATTAAAAACGCGTCTCCACGTAATCGCCTCTTTCTGTTTCTGACCCCAACCAATCATAGATAAGAAAGGAAGTCAAAACAGTATTTACATGTTTTCAAACAGCCAATCAGATTTTTGTATTCAGTATGGTGTTTATCAAACAACACCAAATAAAAAAAGAGTGCAGAGACTAGAGATGGTTCAGGGTTCTTTCTCTGCTATTCTACGCTGCGCTGACCAACAGAAAGCTGTTTGATTTGAAAGTGACCTCTATGTGAGCCGTGCTTCATACTAGAAGAAAATGGAACTTTATTTGTCTGAATTAAATCAATTGAATTAAGCAAAATCGAATTTTGCTGATAAAAACATATCTTTAGATTGTAGACTGCTGTGAAGTCCAGACCAGTGAACGTATGGCACACTTACCATAAAATTAAAAATGAGACACCCTACGTTCTTGTGCACGTGTAAAGGCCACTAGACTGCTGTCCACCATGTTTCTTCACTTCAGTTTATGATGAGCATTTTTAGTGATAGTTCACCCAAAAATGAAAATGATTGTTGATCACAAAAGAAGATATTTTGAAGAGTGTAACCTAAAATCGATCGTTTCCGCACAGAATCTATTTCTGCTGTGCTGCACGCGCTGAATTAAAGTGACAGCGCATTATTCGTGGTAAAAATTAACATGGATTGACACGGAAATTTAGTAATTACACCATAAATGCATATAATTAAAGTCTACTGTTTCACAGTCAACACATGGCTTTTTGGCTAGATTTAAAACAAGGAAAAGTGCACTTTTAGATAAACAATGTAAAGAGTGTAAATGGTCCCCATTTACTTTTTTACCGTCAGCTGTTTGGTTACCAACATTCTTCAAAATATCTTCTTTTATGTTCAGCAGAAGAGTTTTCATTTTTGGGTGGGCTATCACTTTAAATCTTGAAATGTTAACTGTTTTTTTTTTTTTGGAACTCAGACGGCGCTCACCTCTTTGGTGAAGATGTTGAAGAGCTGTCCTCATCTGAGTCAGAGCTCTGTGGAGCTCCTGCTGGCGCAGCTGCACTGCGCGTGTGACTCTGCGCGGGTGCTCATGTGTCAGGCTCTGGCTGCTATTGCCACACAGCAGCCGGTGCTGGCAGAGGGAATGCTGGGAGACCTGCTAGACCTCTTCAGGGTGGCAAGTCACAGAACCTCGGAGAAACAGCAGGAGCTTCTGGTAAGCAAATACAGGAATGATGTCCAACCATCAACCACAACCAACAAGTTTAAGTCTCATTTTCCCAAAACATTCAAATCTTGTCTTGTTGTGTGTCTTAGGTTTCTTTGGCAACAGTATTATTTGTGGCCAGTCAGGCTTCACTCTCGGCCGAAGTAAAGACAGTGATCAGGCAGCAGTTGGAGAATGTGGCCAATGGGTGGACCGTGTACCGCATTGCCAGACAGGCCTCCCGCATGGTGAGCTGAGCTATGAGAGAGAAGGAAGCACTTTCTGACTCCATTGCCTGATGTCCCTTAAAATAGAGGTCTGCATTCCCGCGGCTCTCCTGCGGGAACCGCGGGACTTTTTTCCTACTGTTTTAAATGTTAAACGAATTGTATCCTGACAAGACGAATAAAAATAAGAAATACAATTTTTGTACAACATTTTTATTTTCTCTGTGACAATTTTTTCCCTACTGTGTTGGCAGCAGTTGCTGTCAATAACTTCAAGACTCTTGACAAGACATATTATATAAATAAAATTTTGTGCAGACTACACTTTTATTTGTTAGCACATCTCTCAGCGGCCTTTCAGATGGAGACTACAGCGCAGCCATGAGCGCCATCTCTGAAGCACTCAAATCCTACCAGAAGGGAATATGCGTCTCTCACGGTCAGGATTCGCCAGTCATCCTCTTTTTGCTTTTTTTGTATGCGGTCTATTACCGGCTGCTTTCCTTCATTCCTCTGTTGGGTTATATTCATATTGAAGCAGCACAGAAGAGTTTTTTGTGACTGACTGTAATCCTGTTTCGTCTTCAGGCTGCCAGTACGCCGCTGAGTCCTTTGACGTTCCAGTGTGAGTTTGTGAAGCTGCGTATAGACACTCTTCAGGCCCTGTCCCAGCTCATCTGCACCTGCAACAGTCTGAAGACCAGCCCCCCTCCTGCCATCGCCACCACCATCGCTCCGTCCTCAGGCAGCGAGCTGCAGCACTGCGGACGCATTTCAACACAGGTGCTCAAAACATACTGCATACCGTTTGTGTTCCTGCAGTTGCCTCATTATGTTGTCTAAAATTATTTCTAAGAGCTCTTTTATGAGGATGGCATGTTCATTGTGTGTTTTTTGTTTTGTTTTGTTTTGGATGTAGATGAAATTAGCCATGGATGAATTTCGAAGTCTGGCAGCTCGCTATGCCGACCTGTATCAGTCTTCGTTTGATGCCGACTACGCCACCCTCCGTAATGTTGAACTGTATCCTTTTTTTGCCTTGGAGGACAATCTGTGTGCAAAAACAGTTATTTATTTATTTAGAGGTCTTATTGCTAATTGCTAATTATGTTTCACCTGTGAAATGGTTCTATTTTAATTTATTATAAATTTATATTAATATTATACATTAATTTGTGTTAATTAAAAAAAAACTTTTTCATAATTTTTTTTTTTTAATATACACTAGTGGTTAAAGAGCTGTAATAATTTTTTGAACTGCAATTTTTTCTGGATTCTTTGGTGAATAGAAATCTTAATTGAACAGAATTTGTTTAAAATAGAAATATTTTCTAATATTATAAAAGTCTTTATAAATGTCACTTTTCAATCAATTTAATATATCCTTGCTGAGTAAATGTATTTTGTAAAAAAAAATAATAATAAAAAAATCATACTTACCCGAAACGTTTTATCACCGTTTCCACAAAAATATTAAGCAGAAAACTTTTCAACATTGATAATAATAATGAATGTTTCTTGAGCAGCAAATCAGCATATTAGAATGATTTCTGAAAGATCATGTGACACTGAAGACTGGAGTAATGATGCTGAAAATCCAGCTTTACCATCACAGGAAAATATTACATTTTAAAATATATGAAAATAGAAAACGGTTCACAATATTACTGTTTTTACTGTAATTTTTAATCAAATAAATGCAGATCTCTTTCAAAAACATGAAAACATTTTTGTAAACTTTGAATGCTTGTGTATATTTATATTTAATTCTATTAAAATTATAATTTATATTAATTATATTAAAATTATAAATGATATATATTAACCCTAAATAATTAAATTATATTAAATTATTATTTTTTTAATTATAAAAACTTCTACAAAATGAGTTTGCATGGTCAGTGTCACAGATTTGTTTACGTTAGTAATTGTTTACATTAGTTAGTAGTTGTTTACATTAGTGATTTTGTTTATACTGTTCCAAAAGTAACACACTTTAGTTTTTAGCCATTGTTTCAAACTAAATATGGCATTTGCAAGGCAACAATGAATGAAGGCCTCATCCAAAGATATTTTGCCAAGCATCTGTACTTTCCTTAAAACCTTTCTTAGACAACAGCAAAGCTGCTTGCTTGTATCTTATGTTATTGAGGCTTTAGTAATTGATCCGCAAACGGCCAGGTACGAATACTCTAACATTTACCACTCTTGACTTAATAACAATGCTTCATATATTCAATGTGGGATCACAACAAGAGGTTTGGAAGATTATTAGGCACAACATAAAGACTAGATTTTAGTTAGAATATTTCATTTGCACTTACTGTAAAGACATCCATGAGGCTTCTGTGGTTCAGTTTCCAGGAGTTTGGCACACACGGATCAGTGCTGGCAGAGAGCGAGTATGAACTCAGAATGCTGGCTGTGTTCAATCACGTCCTGGAGGAAGTGGAAAACCTAAGCAGGAAGCACCCTCCTGTCTCTTACCTGGTAATGTTTTAAGGTTTTCATTGGCTGACTGTTCCTGTCTGTAATCCATATGGATTCACTTTTTATAGGCACATTTTGGCTTTAAATGCATCTTTTGTTTTTCTGTTTGAAGCACACTGGATGTCTGTGTGGTGCTGTTATAGCCATTTTGAAGGTACCACTGTCATTCCAGAGATATTTCTTCCAGAAGCTTCAATCCACCAGCATTAAAGTAAGTAATCTGTATAATTATTATGAAAAATTACTATTAAAAATTTAAAAATGAAACTATTTTATTAATGTTTATAAATTGCTAAATGAAAAATTAGCTATGAATTATTTACTTTAACAGTGATCAAATTCAGAGAAAAAATAAAATATTTTTATTTTTTGCCTTCAAATGCGAGTAAAACCTGTGATGGCGAGTATATGAAACGGTGTTACTTGCCAGTTGGTCGGTAATTGTTTTTTATTTTGATTTTTTTTTTATTAATTCTAACAATGCCTATACGATTTAGTGTGATTATCAAATTGCAAAGACTGCATCGAAATGATAAACTTTATATACTTTACAGTTCAACAGTATTATAGTATGATATTTACAGTATGATATTTCTTCATTGATTTAATTTTTATAATTTGATATACTAATAATAATAAATATTAATAATAAAAGTAATAAGATTCCCCCATTTAGAAAAAAAATCTGTGTATTTTAAATGTGATGGAATTGTAAGAAGTTGTCAAGATTTATTTTATTTTTTTTTAGTAAGATTATTAAGATTTTGTAGTGTTCAGGTACAAGTAAAGTATATTTACTCAAGTACTTTACATCCTTGCCTGTTACTACATTACACATATATATTAGGGGTGTAACGATACACGTATTCGTATTGAGCCGTTCGGTACAAGGCTTTCGGTTCGGTATGCATTCGTTGGACTAATCCTATTACATTTGGAAAATAAAAGAACTTAAAGTGTGTGAAATATAATGTTCTCAGTGCCACTGCGCTCAACAAGGCAGCCCAAACGACGTAACAGGCACCGTGCTGTCTGCCCGGCGATAGCTTCCCCTTGCTGGGCTGCGTCGAAAGACGATGATCTTCTATCAACAAGACAGGCACCGTGCTGTCTGCCCGGCGATAGCTTCCCCTTGCTGGGGTGCGTCGAAAGACGATGATCTTCTATCAACAAGAGCCAGAGATCTTGTCAAAAACATCAATTATTGGCAATATTAAGAGGATTTGGCATTTCCAATTAATGTAGGCCTGTTTCGTTCTTATTTTATTAGGCCTATTGTTATTACGAAGTTACTTTTATTATTAAATTAAAATTTAAATAAATTTGCCTCGCAATACCGCATAACTGAGGCGCTGCAAGGATAACAAAAGATTAGGCTATTTACTCCTCAATTAAAATGTTAAAAAAAAGGTATTTTAAAACAGGTCTATTATACAATGAATTATAGGCCACTAATTAAAATATTAACACTGCAGTCATCAATAAAAATCAATGAAATAAAACGCTTTAGCCTATTTCAAGCACCGAGTTTCAAAACAACCTGTTTAACACGAAATACGTTTCTTCTCATTTGTTTTTTTTTTTCACTAGCCTACGGGCCACAACAGAAATCTTAAGGGAATAAATTAAAACAGTTAGCTATATACCGTTATCAGCATATGTTGAAGTAGATTCGAAAGCTCCGTCATTACGTTTTTACTTTCACTTTCTGCACAGTGAACTGACTGAGATTAAGACGTTCTTACTGTTCTTACATAACTCTTGCGCAAAGTTTGCACGTTGCTTATGTGATATCCATCAGCTCGCCTTCATGGTTTTAAAAATAAATATTTCCAATATTGCGATGTAACCTATTACCACCCTAAGTAACCCTAATCTTAACCCTAACCTTATAGTAAGTAAATGTAGTTGATTAATATTACTCAGTACTTAAATGCTTAATTACACTGTAACAAGGACACCTTAAAAAATTAAGTGTAACCGAAAATTGTAAATCATGTGTTTAAAGTGTTTAACTACACATTTGTAATGATAAAGTTCCAATTTAATAAATTTAAGATGCATTTAATAATATAGTTAAAATTATAAAAATATATACTTTCTAAGATTTGAAGTGAATATTTGAATACACTTATCTTTTCCACAAGGACAACTAATATTAGCAGTTTAATAATATTGTAATTAAATTCACAGAACTCACTGCCTCACATTCACAGTTATTTTGTTACAAACCTCTTTGTGTATTTATGTATAATCTTTCTTCACTCAAGTAAAGCTAATGAAATTGTGCATTTCTACAGTGTTGCAGTTGAATCTGGGTTAGTAGTAGTATCACATTGCTAATTACTTCTTCAGTAACAGCCAGTGAATGCTCAGCTAGCTACATGAGCAACAGTGATGGATGTGTTTGAGTCCATGAAATGACTTTTAGATGGATTTAAATCAATGGATCACAACCTCTGCTGTACAGTATATTCACAGGAGCTGAAGTCCATTTCAAATCCATTTCTGAAAGACTGCATTTGTAAACACCATAACGCAGAATTATTGTAGAAGTTGTTTTATGTAAATATAGTGACTTGACCCAGACCTTTTATGTCTGTATTTTTATGAATACTATTGTTCTTTGCATGGTGTATATAGGTTATATTTAAAGTGATAGTTTACCCACAAATACAAATATTGGGGTGAAAGATTACTTCAGTGATTTTTCGTTTAGCTAGCATAGCCTGTGATTATAGCCATCAGCCACAGCTAGTAATGCTAGGCCTAATGAACCAATAAGAGAAAGGAATGAGGAGAAAATTAGATTTACACTCCAACACACATACTATTTTGAACTGCTTATTCAGGCTACACTCGCAGCTCTCAATTACAGACATCCGTGCAGAAACACACACACACAAAGTCGTTCACACACCAATACTAGCAATAATGAATTAGCAATGCAGTTGAGCACTCACTGCACACTTGCTAATCCAGCTTTAACATTTACCAAAGTGTTAGAATATGTGAATTCCTTTTTAAAGATGTTCAGATGTTCTGACTTTCAATTCAGTTTGCTTATTTTTGTAGCACTTTTCACGATTGTAAAATAAAGATAATATAATGGTATGTTGTAAGCCCATCCATTAAAAGTCCATCCATTCCACTTACCACATACTTCCATTGAAGTACATGATTGAATAACACATTTTCAAGTTCATACACATTTTCAGTTTACCTTTTCAATTTTTAAATTGATTTATTATTTACTATAATTTGTAATAGAAAATGTTGCAATTACAAAAGAATGCAAAAAAAAAATACACTGCAAAATATTTTTATTATTTTTTAGCCAAAAAACAAACAAACTATATATTATATTATATATAATTTATAGTGTTGTAAAATACACTGGTAATTTAAATTTAACACAGATTACATTAAAAATGTAATAAAATAATTAAACTAATTAAAATGAAAATAAAATTAAAAAAAATTCGAAAACATTACATTTAATCTACAAGTATAATCTTTTAAATTAAATTAAAACTGAAAAATGTTTTCCAAATGGTAGACAAAGGCGATAGAAAGAGGTCTTAGATTAGCAAACTTGCACATCGGGTCAGTCGTGACATAAACAGGAGATGCATGTAAAACAGTAAACTGTCACAAAAACAAATATTTTAATTTCAATCATTTAAATTTTACAAGTTTCAGTGTCCTAAAGTTACTCCCAACATTAATATGAAGCCTTTCTGTGTCATAAACACTGCTTTTGTGAATTTGCTTTGGTTAGTTTGCATATGATCATCTTCAGGGAAGACAAAGCTACAAAACAGCAAGAGCAGATTCAACATTCAGAGTTCAGGACAGGTATCTTACACAATTATTCTGTTCCCTAAAAGGAAACACTGGATCAATTCCAGTTCAAGAGTTCATTACTATTTTGTAAAATGTTATGAACAATGTGGGCTTGGAACAACTTGTAGGTGTTTATAATTTTATCATTGTAATTAATTACCTTAAAGTTTTAACTTGCGTCTCTCGTTCGGTAGACATTATAGAAAAATATCAATAGAAAAATTGAGGGAAAAACAGGGCAGAGTGTAAACAATAGAAAAATAACCAAATATATGAGAAATACAGACATACTTGTTTGCCACAATTGTCCAAAATAACGTGTGAATTTATGGTTGATATGTCTGTAAAGGGTAAAAACTGAATTCTCTGAAATTTGCTGAATTTATTAAAATGTTAAGCATTACTTCTTTGTGCATAAAACTAAATTATAAATTAAAATCACTGAACATTGCCTGGATATTACATTGACCACAACATCTCGATAGCCTATTTGGTATAGGGTTAGATCTCTGCCATAATTCTGTGTGCGAAAGGTCATATTTTGAGCGCACAAAAGTGCATTTTGCACCTGCGCGATCTGAGTTTTGTGGAGAAAATGTTCGTTCAAATCTAAAATCAATTTTTTAAATTTAATATATGTTTTTGGATGTGTGCAGACCTTCTCTTTTGCGCGTGCAACATTTCACTAGCTTGCTCACTTGATGCCCGCCCTCAGTGCTCTCTAAATACCAACGGCTAGCTTGCTCAACACAACCCAGTGTTACAATATGCCATAATTCCAGCCAATCAGAGATGAGGCTGCTAAATTCTGATTGGCTGCCTTGA